TGTCAGCTTGGCTCCACGAACACAAAGCTGAGCCTTCAGAGAGCCCGGAGTGTAGTAAATCCCACTGTGGATCACACCACTGTTATGACCTGTCTGATGGACAGCTGGAGGGGAGACACCAAAGAAATTAAAATGAAATCAGGATGAATATATGAATAAGCATCTAGATGAACCAATGCACACTCACCAAGCTCTTTCTCTTTCTCCAGTAGGGTGAAGGTGAGGTTTGGGTGCCTGAGGATCATCTCTCTGGCAGAGGCCAGTCCAACAATCCCTCCACCAATAACAGCCACATCGAATGAGCTACACAATATAATGGTATATTATCAGCTGAGAATGGAAATTTAATTGTGCATGCACATTTCATCTATTTTTACTTTTTGTCATCATAGAAAACACACACTTAAAGTTGATGTTCACTAACACACATAGTTTAATATCACTGTTAAAATGTAATCTGTAGAAAATCCCATAAAGCTCTGATGCCAAATTTCACTTGTAGCATAGTGTTTGACTTATTTATTAAAAACGGTATAGATTTGTCTTTCTTCTTTTACATTTGTCCATTTGCCAGTTATCGGCCAAAAGACAAAATAATTATTGGTTTATTGGTATCAGCGGTGACTTTAAAGGCATAATCCCCCCCAAAATAAAATAAATAAAATTGTTAACAGTTACTCACCCTCATATAATTCCAAACATGTTTGACTTTTCTTCTTCTGTGGAACATAAATAATGATATTTTGAATAATGTTCGGGTTTTTTTACCCTCCATACAATGAAATCCAATGGTAACCAAACTGTTTGGTTACCAACACTTCTCAAAATATTTTCTTTCGTCTTCCGCATAAGAAAGTAGGTCATACAAGTTTGGAACGACAAGAGGATAAGTAACGGTAAATGATTACACTGAATCATCCCCTTTTATAATATCGGTGCACTGTTAACTGAAGTGTCATTGAATGTACCCTCGTTACAGTATTACTGTGCAGTCACAATGGATACACACATTCATACATGCATACTACAGTACAGTCATACTACAGCCGACATACTTTAAAAGGATTCATGGTGTGACAGTTACAGTCAGACCATTTTCTGTCACTGTTAATACTCTGAACTGTTCTTTTATGTCTACTGTAGAAGATAAGTTGTTATTCTCACCCGCTGTGGTGTGCAGCTCTGCACGTTGCAGACTTTGATCCCTGTGAAAGTAAACGCGCGCGCACATATCCGGTACAGAAAGTTCGTTTCATTATTCCACAAAGAAAGTTTTTACTTCCCTTAATAGACTTGTCATGGCCGTGTGGTCATAGTGTTCGTCTTTGACCCAGTCTGGTGGTTTTAGGAATCTCGTCGCTCCGGTGCTGAAAAGCTTGTCCTTCGTGGCCCCGCCCCTGACGCAGAGGTCGCACACTCACTGACCAATGTGAGCGCGGGACGGGATGACGTAAAGGGTGAACGATCAACGCGCGCGGCGCGCATGGAGAGGAGGACACGGGATGTAAATAACAGATACTACGCACATATACACAGATCAGATTCAGCACTACCCGGGCCGAACCACACGGCCAGTTTTGTAAGTTTACCACCCTTTCTTTTTGTCACGGTTCTAAATGAGATTAGAACAGATTCTCTTGGATCTGCATTTAGATAAATGAATATGTCCTCTAACGTCTAACGTTAGATTCAATGACATGACCATGACCATCTACGCACACAGATTATTCTTCTCGATATTTTATTAGAAAGTGTTTTTGAACCGTGCCTCTTCATGCTTTGACGTGTTCTCTCTCTTTTTTTTAGTCATAGAAGACATGAGATTGTTGACCCGGTCAGCGCGGATGGTTTTATCCGCACGCAAGCAGCCGCCAGGGGGCAGTCGAGAGTTCTGGGGGTGGCTCAATGCTGTTTTCAACAAGTAATTTTTTTAAAACATTTTTTCCAAGACAACAATTATGTAACTAGTTTAGTTCTCTGATGTCATATTTTATTTCCGTTCTCAAACCCACAGCAGACTGTAAAGCACCTGAGGCCTGTTATAAAAAACAAAATAGCCATAGGGACTTATGTCTAGATTGACTATTCCTTAGAGTGAGGAATCTCTACAGAGACTCATTTAAATGTGGTAATTCACAACAACAGCTCTTATTTAGAGTCTAAACTTGTAACTTTAAAGTAATAGCATATAGCAGTTTACTTTTAAAAATTTTGGCTGGCCAGTGGATGTGAAAGACTTTATTTTCTGAAATATTGTTAAGCTTTATTGCTTGAAATTTGAAGAAATATTCGCTGTGGGTATACCACAGTTCTACTAGCATTTTTTTTTATAAAATAACCAAGGTACTTAAACAAAAACTTTTATTTTGTGGAAAACACAGCAGTCAAAATTAGAGCACAATAACCATTGGAGCACATAAGAAAGCATTACAACTAAAATGTGATGCTTACAGAAGTCAAAATTCTGCACTCTTCTTCTAGTCTCTTCCACAGTTCGGCAACTGTGGTGGGTTTCTTAGCCATAACTTTTCACCAAGTTTTTGCACACTGAGTGGCATTAATATGAACTACACATATACAGAATTTATTGGTTCATTTCAACATTTACTAGTATTTTATTTAAATCTTGTTAACACTAGTTAATGCACCGTGAACTAACAGGAACAAACAATGAACAGCTGTATTTTTATTAGCTAACATTAACAAAGATGAACAAATATAGTAACAAATGTATTACTCATTATTAGTTCCTGTTTGTTAATACATTATCTAATGTTAACTAATGAACCTTATTGTAAAGTGTTACCCATTATTCAGTAATTGTTGTGTTCTTTGATCAATATAGAGTTGATTATGAGCGTATTAAAGCAGTGGGTCCAGATCGAGCTGCTGCCGAGTGGCTCCTGAGGTGTGGTGCAAAAGTTCGCTTCCGTGGCTTCGACCGCTGGCAACATGACTACAACGGACTCCCGACTGGGCCGCTGGGCCGGTACAGGATCGAAGCTATTGATGCCACAGAGTCCTGCATCATGTATCGTGGTTTTGATCACCTGGGTAAGTGAATTCTGCAGTGCCGAATGATCGATTAGATGCACATAAACACCCTTCTCACTGACCTCATCCAGTTGCCTTTATGTAGGAAAATTATCTTTTAACCTTTAGCATTGTTACTGTACTGTACATTACCTGTGCAAATTTAATGAAATCATTAGTGAATGGAGACGGCCAAGATCTCTTACTCCATTTGCTCCAGCAAAACAATCTTGCATTATTTATTAAATTAGACCCCAGAGAGGGAAAGTTTGTGAGGACGCTATGTGTGTGTGTGTGTGTGTGAGATGTGATGAGACACTGAGACACCGTTTGAGTGTCACAGGTGAGGATGAGACACTGTCTGTGTGTCACAGGTGAGGATGAGAGGTTCAGTTGTGGGAAAAAGTGACGTAAAGCCAAAGGGTGTTTTACACTGTCAGATACAGTGCGGTTCTCTCTCTTTTTTTTTGACACATCTAGTTTGACTATACAGTACACTACATTATACATTACACCTACTGTAATCAATAAAGGTCGCCTTTGTATTTGTGTTTAGAGGGTCTCGAGCACTTGGAGGAAATCCGGTTAAATAAGTGTATTTATATAGAAGACGCCTGTCTGGAGCGTTTGAGTCAAATAAAGACGCTGCAGGACAGTGTGAAGAACATGACGGTAGTTTCCTGTGGTAATGTGACAGATATAGGAATCATCGCTCTTCATCAACTCAGGTATGACAACAGCATCTTTTCATTTTCAATTTAGCACCATGTTACTCATGTAGATATTACATTTTATGCCAAATGAGGACAGTGATTGGATGAGGTTGATCTCAAATGACCAAATATCAGAAGATTTATCAGCCAGGAATGCGTTTCCCAGAAGCATTGTGAGCCTCAGTTGAACAGAGACCAATGTTGCCTAAAGTTTCAACAATCTACTTAGTCTTGGGCGTTTTCACACCTCGCTTGGAGCGTTTGTTTCTGAACCTGGTGGGTTTTCTCCCTTAGTTTGGTTCGTTTAGGCATATACTGTATGAACACGGCAATCACGCTTGGATTCACACCAAAACAATCGCTCCGAGATCACCTAAACGATGCTACAATGATCCAACAATGCTGTCCTGATGAAGCCTTGATTCCCATTTAACTGCACTATTGGTTTTATATATATATATATATATATATATATATATATAATTTAAGCTGGAATTTAGGCTACATTCGTACAGGGGTTTGCATGTGTCACGACAGCTACAGATAAAGCCACAATAAGCCCGTGGAGCGAACTTGTCAGTCCATCTTGATGGATGACGCAGAGGAACGTAAACAGGTGAACTCTGACCAATAAGTGGACAGTTTTACTCGCATGTGATTCGCATGAACACATTTTGGTATGTTTCAAATGTTGGCTTGTGAAAGCGAACCAAACCAAGAAGAAAATGCAACGCATTAAGTCCCTGTTTCGGAACAAAGCAAAAGGTGTGAAAACGCCCTGAATAACACATTGGTTTGAGTAACAACCGTTATCTCAGATTGTGTGCTTGTGTGTATCAGGAACCTGGAGTTGCTATTTCTCAGTGATCTCCCTGGTGTAAAAGATAAAGCTCAGACTGTGGACAGACTCCAGACCGCACTTCCCAGACTCGCCATAGAACTGGATCTCGCTTAACCAATCACATCGCCTCTCAGAGCACAATTGGAACACCACAACTCTCACAGCCTCGTGACCAGGCCAGAAAACCCCTCTGGATGATGTCCATGACTCCTCTGGCAACAGTATTCAAGCAACTGAGAATCCCAGAGATGGATCCAGAGAGCTGCAAATCAACAACACCGGCTTTCGAATCAGAAGTGTTTAGTCAGACCACCCAGGGCTTATGTTGCTGTTAACTATACATTTTCAGCTGTAGTTTTTTTCTTTACACATTTCTTGCTTTGTTTCTTATAAAGAAGCTATAGAAACAAACATATGTTGCAGAAAGATCTTTAATGATTTAGTCTGAAAACAAACAAAAACAATTTAATTTTACATCTATACATCTCAACGCAAAAAACACACGTTTGCTCATGTCTCTCAAATTTGGCATTTGGTGCGAGACAGTGGCTCAATTATTAGCACCAGTCGTAAAGGCAACGATAAAGATCATTAAGTCCACAATTGGGTAATTAATTAACAGGGAAAGAGCCACAGATTTCTCTACAAGTTCTACACATCCTCAAACCCTTGTGTTCATTTCTTAAATATTTTGGCTAATTTGCTTTAAGCAAATCACAATTCCGTTTTACACTTTTTACGGAAAAAAAAAAAAGCATTCTGCAGAGTTTCAAAGTCTTTCTCCACAGAAAAGTCTGCAGATTCTGTTTTGTGCCTGGTTACGTTTTTACAAATTATTGTCATATATAAACACTTCATGCATACATACATGAAGCATCATTAGCGTTTATAATGGAGAAAAATATCTGTATCTAATAATCTAAAAAAATCTGTCCCACAGAGCAAACTCTTCTATAGCACTGATGTCAGTTTCTAATCAAAATATCAAGCACAGCACAAGATCCAATTTGAATGCTTTACAGCTAATGCTGTCATTTTTCATATTACAGAAATGCTTCTGTGAGTGTTTGCTTTGGCAGTGTGACATCATTGTTCTACAGGCAGAGCAGAGCCCTTTGTCTATCTTACACACCAGCTGGGAGGTGGACGCTCTGTTCTCGGGTTCCTGATGAGTCGGCGTCCATCATATGTTGGGCAGATGACAGTTGAATTTGCGCAGGTTGTTGTTGTATTTTCTGTTCTCCACGGCTGGGAAGACAGTACTGCTGGCCAACTGAGGCAGATACTACACAAACGGAGAACAGGGATTGAAATATTAAAATAAATGAGGGATTTCTATGAGCGTGAGAGGCAAATTTATTTGATCAAATATTTTTTTTTAATATAATTACAATTTTAAGCTGAAATCTGTAGGTTTTTTTGGGTTAAAAACAACCAGCCAGTTTTCAAAACGAAACGCTTGCCTTAACTCGATTCAAAGCGGTAAGTTTGTAATAATGTTTTTAATTCCAGTGGTGTTGGTGGATTTCCGTGGGAGATTTGAGCATGTCTTTGCGTCATTACGTCACATCTGTACACATAAAGAAGAGTCTCGGCTAGTAGGCTATATTTTGTGTGAGGATGTTGGAGGTGGAGATTTATAGCCTTTTCTCACAGCACTTGTTATAATTAAACTTATCAATTTGATGGCGGATCCAGAAAGTTTCAAACGACAATCACCAGTGACAACAAATTCACCCGCCGTAAAATGCAAAAGACTTCATTCAGACTTCGGAGTGGCTACAGAAAAAAGAGACTGCAACCGGACCCATGCGAAAACCAGGATAATATCGGAAGGGCATTAAATGTAGTCACGCAATGCTGATGTTGTTAACATTAACAATTTGAGAACAAAGTATAATTTGCTCGGTTTTGCGTGACATGATAACTTATAAGCGATTGTTAGATTTAATCAGCACCATTTACTGCAATGTCAGAACCAGAACAAAAGTGGATGTTTCTTACTAGTTCAGATGACATTTTTAGGTGAAAATTATTATATTGGTCATACTTTTAAAAAGAATAATCTGTGATTCTGAATGACAGTATCCACACCGGCGCGGTGACTGACAGCTGCACACTCTCCTCAAACATCGGTTTATCCGTGCTGTGCCATGCCGTGTCAAAATACAACTCGCGTAAAGTTGATAATTCCGAATGACTGCAATTGCAGATTTCGAACAGAGATGGCGACAGAGAGGAAAAACTGTGGACTTCAGCTTTAAGATAACAGATATTATTTTGATGATACATTATAAAATGTAATTTATTCCTGTGATAGTAAAGCTGAATTTTCAGCATCATTACTCCAGTCTTTAGTGTCACATGTTCCTACTGATTTTTACTGCTCAAGAAACATTTTGTTTTATTATTAGTCACACATTATTTTTATAAATACTTCAGCTAAAATACATTTTAATAATGTCTAAGTTAATACTTGTTCAAAACAATCACTTTAACAAAGTTACTATATATAAAACTATATTCTGTTTATTTTAATAAATAAAATAATTCATTTCTGTTCAATAAATATAATATAAATATGTCATTCATATGTTAATATAAAAGTATATTTTAAATTATTTAAAAAATTACAAAATAATTGATGGAGATCTCATAATAATTTTATACAGATTTACAGTATTTTTTTAAAATATGGTTTCATTATAAATATGGTGACTATCTCTAAGGTGCACACTCAACTTAATGTATGATATTTACCATCTGAATCTAACCATGGCATATCAACAAAAGCTGTTTATTATGTCAATTATTGTGCCTTTTGTTTCGCCCCAACAGCAGGGGCGCCTTTGACCCCAAATATCATTCTTTTACATATTCTTCCCTTCCTAAAACCAGTTCCTTTAATTAGCTTGAACAAAACTGAAAATCATTAAGAAGACCTTTGTCTCAAAATCTATATATATTTTTGCTTTTCTCATTTGCTACTTAAATCTACAAAGTGTAAAAAAACCCCATCAAATTTTAAATCAAATTAGCACAGAATCAACTTTGCGCTGCTGCCCGCGTTCACGTCAAGGATCAGCCATTTCCATGTGCATCTTAAAAAATAGATGTTTTGGAAGTTTTTGTGTAGAGGAAAATAAAATCGAAGGCGCCTTTAGTTCCTTTTGTACCCTATATATAAATTCAACAGCTTGAACTATCAATGCACACTAAAGGGTCATACAGCCTAGCCCTAGGTGTGAGTGTTGCAACAGACCCCAGGAGGCAGGTGTTTCCGTGGCTGGCGTACGCGCCGCTTTCGGTCCAGTTCACGCGTCACACTCTCATTCTCCTCTCTCAAACTGTCAAAGTATGGCTGTTCCAGTAACTGCTCACAGGACAACCTTTCAGCCGGATCCATCTGCAGACAACCCTAAGACAGACAGAGAGGTTCAGGTTCTAAATGCGCAGTAGATTTCTGAATGAATGGTGTGCGTGTGTGTGTGGGTGTTTAACTCACCTTCATCAGACTCAGTGCCTGGTACGACAGATTTGGATACCTTAGTTCAAGAGGCTCCTGTGCATAAGACACATATAGAGTGTGTTTACTTTCTAGAACTATAGAAATGAACTTATGCTGAATGAAAAGTTAAAAATCATCTTACCGTCTCCTGTGGTTCCGGGACACAAACTCCGCTAAAGAACTGGTTAGTGCTGAACACCTGCTGGTGTCGAGGAATCAACTCGCCTGTGAACACAACAACACGAAGAAAAAAAAAGATATTCATGTAATGCATCTATTCACACACATGATATAAACAGATAGAGTCACATGTCTGTCTCTTACCCAGAGTTTTCCTAATCAGATACAGCTGATCTACATCAGATTTGCCCGGCCATAAGGGGGCGCCAGAGAGCAGCTCTGCAAACACACACCCCACTGCCCAGACGTCTACTGGCGGGCCGTACTGTGTGTCTCCCACTAACAGTTCTGGAGCTCTGTACCACCGCGTCGCTACATAATCCGTGTAATAATCACATGGACCCGCTGAAAAAAAGAGTGAGCCATTAGATTAATGAAACGGTGAAGGTGCAGAGTGTGTGTGGTTTAAGTGCATGGACTGCACGTACTGAGGATCCTGGCGAAGCCAAAGTCGCAAAGTTTGATGACCTGATGCTTGGTGATGAGAATATTTTCAGGCTTCACGTCTCTGTGGATACACTAAAACACACATTTTTAAATCAATCTGAGAGTCTCTTAGAACAGTGGCTCTCAACTCTGATCCTGGGGATCCACCGCTCAGCACATTTTGAATGTCTCCCTTATCTGACACACTCACTTCAGTTTGTGGAGATCTTTTCTAACAAGCTGATGATACCCAACTTAATATATTGGTAAATAAAGAAGACGTATAAAATGTGTAGAGCGGTGCCCAGAACCACTGTCTTAATACTGTTTTTAGATCAGATGTTTTAAGACTAATTGGTGGAACCACTTAAATAGGTGCAATTCTGGAGTGACTGGATCTGGATCCCACCTCTTTAATTAATATTATTATACCTCGTTAAACCCATGTTGTAATAACCGTTTATAAAACGGTTAGTTCGAATCCTTGATTCTGACTGGTCAATAGATGTGCTTTATTCATGATAAAACACGACTGACCGCTTCACCCAATGGTTCTTCACTGCACATCACTGCGGTTCCTGTTCATGTCATGTTCATGCGGTTCATGTTAGTCAGTTACTATTTTTTTCTAGCGGAAGGAAGGTTTTTAGTGATTTTACTTTATAAAAGTGGCACTAATACATATTTTTTTTAATTAATATTTTTATTGTGTGGTAACTGTTTTATAAAAGCAATAAGGTACACGAGGCAAGTGCTGTATCCTAAATAATTAACGACTGAAGGGGTTGCAGGCACTAATTGGTTATAAATAAAATGGTAAAACAACGCTGCTTTAAGTTGAACACACCTTAAATCTGCAGTTGTCAGGTGGTACAGCACAGCAGCCACGTGTACACGTCATATCTCTCGGAATATTACTAATTTACATGCTGAAATTATAACTTCTACTACCACGCGAATAACAGTAATTACGACATGGCTTGAACGCACCATGAAACAAATATACAGCTCAAGGCATTTGATGTTAGGGGTCTACTAAAACAAGTGGAAGATACAATTCCATAGATGCCGCATCCAGATTTTTACATTGTTGTTATGTTGTATTATTATGTTACATTATGTTGATAGTATTGCATTTAAAAACAAAACAAAAAAAACCCATTTATTTCACTTGTAATTTCATATTTAAATGAACAAAATGTATAATTTTCATTCAATACAATTTCTAATCATTTGTAAATGTCAGTAAACATATTGACTTATTGATTAATTTTATTAAAGAAAATGTTTATTAACATCTACAAAATTTGAATACTTCATATAAAGTAAATATTTTCCAGATAATATTGTAATAACTTAGTTAAATAATTAGCTTTTAAATGTTTAACTGTATTAAACCTTGTGACACTTTCTTACACAGTATAAATGCAGCTGCCTTTATATTATATTATATAATATAACTATTGTTATAACTATTATTAGTAATACTGTTGACAAGGTAAGAGTGGGAGAGAGTAGCAACAAGTTTGAAATTCTTACGTTTTGTTTGTGGCAGAAGTTCACAGCCTGAAGTGTTTGCCAGATGATGCTTTTAACCATGTGCTCTGGAACACTTGAGTGGACACACACACACACACACACACACACACACACACACACACACAAAAGCATCACAATACAGTTACAGGAACAAAAAACTCATTTTCTACTTAAAAAAAATTCACACAGAGAGAGCATGTGAAAAATGTGAAATGTGACATTTTCACATATAAACTTTGATCAGCTAACATAAAACAGTAGCTCAACCAAACGAGCGAGAACATACCTCATTGGTTCTTATATATTCTCATTGGTTCTTGAGGAAGCTCAAACGAGCTGCGTAACACGAGAATGAACCTCATTGGTTCTTGAGGAAGCTCAAACGAGCTGAGTAACACGAGAATGAACCTCATTGGTTCTTGAGGAAGCTCAAACGAGCTATGTAACACAAGAATGAACCTCATTGGTTCTTGAGGAAGCTCAAACGAGCTATGTAACACAAGAATGAACCTCATTGGTTCTTGAGAAAGCTCAAACGAGCTGCGTAACACAAGAATGAACCTCATTGGTTCTTGAGGAAGCTCAAACGAGCTGCGTAACACGAGAATGAACCTCATTGGTCCTTGAGGAAGCTCAAACGAGCTGCGTAACACGAGAATGAACCTCATTGGTCCTTGAGGAAGCTCAAATTGGACTAAACCGCTCAATTCATATTGATTAGTTTTACGATCTCTTTATGAACTTTTTGCAGCGTCAAAGTGTCAGTTGTGTAGCTGTCAAAGGAGGGACAGAAAGCTCTCAGATTTCATCAAAAAGATCTTTATTTGTGTTTTGAACATGTGTTTGGAACGACATGAGGGTGAGTAATTAATGACACAATTTTAACTTTGGGGCTAACTATCCCTTTAACTATTAATTCTTCTCGGCCCCTTCTGTCTATCTCAACCCTCCTACTGAACTCCACACTAACCCTATAGGTTCATTGTCTATGTGCATGTATAAGTGATCTTTTTGTGTAAGCTTTGTTGATTCTTGACTCGTAAATCAAGAGGACGGCAGAAAGAGTTAAATGTTGTTAAATGTTTAACAGCGTCTTAGTTAAATGCACCACCACAGAGGGCAAATGCATCCTGCTGTAAACATTCCACTAAAGACATGCAGGGTGTCATGGCAACAAAAACAATATGTCTGTTAGTGTGAGAAAAACAGAGCTGTTTTATAGGTGTGTCTGCATGTGTGTGTGTGTGTGTGTGTGTGTTCTCACCCTCGTGGGTATCTGTCCAGCTCATTTAGGACAGTGTGGTCGCAGTACTCAAACACCAAGTGCAGTTTTCTCTTTCTTCTGAACACCTCAATCAGATTCACCAGGTTTGGATGTTTCAGTTGCTAGACACACAATGTAAAGCACAAATTAGGATTTATATGTGTGGAAATATATCCAAAAAAGTCTAAGACCGCTAGTGAAAATGTTTCTTATCTAATTCCAAACATCTTAGCATTTAGTCTGCCCCCTTGCTTTAAAAATAAGTGACACAAGTTGGTGTAAAACATGATGATTATGTTCTCCAGCATTAGACATAGAGAGAAATGAAAAAATGAAAAGAAATGAAAGAAAGAACATAATAGTCTGTAAAGAAGAGTTCGCATAGACAGTGATAGGTTCAAAACAAAAATTGTCATCATGTACGGCAATCACCCTCATGTTGTTCCAAACCTTTATGAGTTTCCTTTTTCGGCTCAATACAAAAGAAGATATTTTAAACCATGTTGGCAACCAAACCAAACAACATCCATTGATAGGCTAGTTTTTCTTTTCTTTCCAACTATGGAAGTCAGTGGCTACCCTCAACTGTCTGGTTACCAGCAATGTTTAAGATATCTTCTTTTGTGTTGAGCAGGAGGAAACTCATACAGGTTTGGAAAAAAATCTGACAAAATTTTCATTTTTGGGTGAACTGTGTGTTAGAAGTTAAAAAAGTCTCATTATATGCATTTAATGGATTTAAAATGCACAAAATGACAAAAACACGCCATATCAGTGTAGTTATTGTTAACTAAACTAAACTATTTTAAGGTTGAACAAGATTAAAATCTTGTTTGGTAATTGAAATGAGGCTAACATAACAAATATAATATAAACATTTTTATTTAGTAATAAACTTTATTTTATAAATTATAGTTTTACTACTTTACTAAAACTAAAATTGAAGTAAAAATAAAGCTAAATAGAATTATTTAAAAAATTAAAAAATGACATAAGTATATAAATGACCAACTAAAACTAAAATGTAAACTAAAAATATAAAAAAGCTTTAGGTCACCATCCACCCCAGCTGCATTAAACATACATACATTAACTTACGTATGAACTTAGAATAAACTGGAACTACGTTTAGAGACAAAATTATATACATACATATATATATATATATATATATATATATATATACACACACACACATTTCTACAGCCCAAAGTCAAATAAATGGACCAAAATCTGTGGTACAGTATAACTGCCTGCTATCATGACTGAACAAATAATAAAAAATAACCTCTAGGGAGGGAAAGGGAACAACAAGAATAGTCATCCATCCATGCCTTCATGCATAACAGAGTGAAAATAATTGGTAAGCCAGTGTTGGCTGACATGTCAGATCTTCAAAGGGCCACGGCTTTGCTCTCAGCTCAAAGGAAAGAGTTTGCAAATCACACAAGAGCTCCAGACACTGATTATTGAAACATCCTACTGCCACATGCTGACTAATGAGACAAAAATACTAACTATTCTTCAAGTCTACATACAAATGGTGATCTTAAACCAGCCTAAACAGATTTGCTGGTCTTACTGTCTTTTGGCTAATTTTAAAGGGGCATTTAATACCTGGCCATCCTAAGAGCCCAGTATGCCCAGGCTGGGGAACCATCTTAAACCAGCTAAAACCAGCAAACCACTTAGGCTGGTTTAAACTGGGATTATTCCCGCAGGGTCAGACTGAGCATTTACCTTCAGCATGCGGATTTCTCTGAGCGCTATTTTCTTAATGATGGGATCATCCTCAGATTCTACAAACTTCTTGATGGCGACGATCTGTCCGGTGTCTTTATTCCTGCATTTGAACACGACGCCGTACGAGCCTTCACCAATCTTGCTGATCTTCTCATACTTCTCCATCTCTGTGACACCAGCAGAACACACTTAAGATACTGTTTCACCTTGATGTTGATCTAAATGTGAAAATAAAAAAAATAATAAATAAAAAACCCTGGAGCCACATATGAGGCTTGTAAATGACCGATATAAGGATATAGTTAAAAAATGAGGTAATATTTTGAAGGTGTCCCCGTTACAATGTGTAATTACAAAAAGAAGTACAACTATAGTACGTGTAATTTGTCACAACAAGGCCATTTTAAAATAAAGTGTTACCAAAATAGTGTTCTGGACCCCTTGCCTTTATATTAAGTATCACTTAATTTTTGTGGGCCCCTAGGAGGAAGAGACACCAAACTTAATTCCCCACACGACATTTAATTATTCAACAATATTCTTGATCTGCCTTTATTTTATTCTAGAAACAAATTTCTTGTATTTATTTCAATGTTATCACTGTGAAGCTTTGATACAATCTGTATTGTAAAAAGCACTATATAAATAAAGATGACTTGACTATTTTTTTAGGCAAACATCAGCTGGTCACTGAATTTTATTTCTGAATTTCTTGAAAGTTTATATGACAATATGAATTTTGAATAACTGAAGTCTTACTGTTATGTAACATGATTGTGGTCAAGATCAGTTCTGGTTACCAAGAATAATTAAACTCCATTAAAACTACAATACACATCTTATATTTTTCGAGAGAGAGAGTGAGAGAGAGCGAGAGAGCTTACCTTTCAATGTCACAAATATTTGCTTCACGATTAAAAAAAAACGTACACAAAGCGCAACTTCCTGAGATCGAAATGTGTCACATAAGCGAATAAGTTTTGTGTTGAGTGAATCTGACGACAGATGTAGCCGTGTGTCCGCGTACAACAACAAACTGTTTGAGTTCGCATGGAGAAGAAAACACGCTATTTACAAGCGGCAGGTCGCCGTAGAAACCGAGTCGAAACTCCACCTCCACCTTGCGCGCGCTTCAGTCTGCACAGCAACATGACAAACGCTCGAAACAATCCGCAAGAGCTGACCTCAGATCTGCTATTTACGAGCCGAAATAAGTGGGACCGTAAATCCCTTCATCCGAGGACAAATCAAATACAACACAGTATTTTGTTCAGCCTCCACATACCCAACAGTGCGAGCGGGAGGTGACGAGCACGCAGATTAAAGTTTCTGTTAAAGGGAAAGTTCACCGTAAAATGAAAATTCTGTCACCATTTAGTCGCCCTCATATTGTTTCAAACCTGTATAAATGTCTTTGTTCTGCTGAATATTTGGAAGAATGTTTGAGACCAAACGGTTGATGGGCCCCCATATTATGGAAGGCAATGGTGCCTCAGAACTACATAGTTAGCCATGATATATTCTTTAAAATATGTTCTTTTGTGTTCAGAAGAAGAAATTCAACGTTTTGGAACAACTTGAGCATGAGCAAATATTATTATTATTTTATTTTAACTTTTTTTTTTCAAATACCGTCTCGCACACCCATATCCGCAAGAGATTTTTTTGTTATTAAGGTGTAAGAACAAACAACTCCCTTTGTTGATCACACACTACACTGCAAACTTGTAAAAAGTACTTCTGGGTATATCAGTGTACTTGAATTAATAAGACAACAAAAATAGAATCCCCTGCCCATTACAAACAATAATCAGCCCACACATTACGTTTTTTCCCAAGTGAGCATGCCAAAACATGTTGGTTTCAAGAGGCTATTTGTGTGGATATTTATTTTAAATGACTTTCACAAATAATAAAACACATCCCAAAGTGTTAACAACTGCCTTTTTATTACAAAAGCTGCATACATAAAACTAAAGCAACGGAAACACTTGAGATATCACAGTAACCTCGCATCTCCCATGTTTTGTCATTTTTTAAATATAAAAAGATCATGTACAAAAGTGCTTACATGGTGCAAGTATTGAATTAAAGTTACTTTTAAAAGAGAGAACTGATATTTTAAAATATTACTCAGCTGGAGAAAATAAAAGAGCTAAAAAACAAAAACAAGAATAAAATGACCTGCAGCAGAAAAATATTCACTCAGTAACATGAGGGCGAGATGCTTCACTCACACGACTCCGCTGAATAAATAACACTCACTCACTCTCCCAAAACTCTCCCCATTAGCTGGCATGAAAACCTGATATTTTAAATCCACATTAACACAAAACCTTCGAAGTTAGTTACGTTTAATAAAACCATTCCTTTATATGGCACTTTTTGAGCAGCAATGCTCTTTGCTCAATGGTCTAATCTTCGCAGCTTTAATGTTTTTGAATACGTTTAGAATGATTACATTTAATAGGGTTAAAAAAAAAAGAGCATTGAATACAGAGCACTATTCCTTGCAGTTCTGGCGATTTCTTGCTTGATTTGCACAAATCTAACTGTCTGCGGTAGAACTGCATGATATTTGATTTTGAATGCCTGAAGTGTTGAGAAGTCCGGGGGTTTCTGCCGGTGGGCGGTGTATGGTATAAGGCTGCAGTGAGATTTAGCACTAAACACAGTCTGCTCATCAGCTCAGCTGTGGTTGTCCAGCATCTGTGCCGTTCCTGCAACGGCTCCAGGTGCAGCGTGCCTGAATGGCTGAAGGAGGAGGAGGAGCTAATAACTGTTCTCATGTCCAGCCAGGATGTAGAGGTTACTGTAAGCGGTAGGGTTATCCGTAGGCCGGCTCTCCAAAACAACAACCCTAAAATGCACAGAAGCCCACAAATATTAACACACATACACTTGTCAGAAGCAACACGTATCATATACAGGAGATGAGTGTAAAAGGGTGGAAGAAAGCCATGATTATGCGAATGTAGAGGGGTTGCGTGAGGATGGTGGTGTCCTCAGCAGCAGCGGGCGACAGATGAAATTACAGCACACAGACACCAGCCTGGCACTACCAGTGTAAATAAAATATGGAGATCTCAGAGGGAGAGTGAAAGAGAGAGACAGAATGTGCTAAAGAGGGTCTTGGGGTGGTATGAGGCCATTGTGTATGTGGTGTCAATTAGGGATGCAACAATACAGTTAGCCCACGGTTCAATAGATATCTCGGTTTTTAATCACGGTTTTTGGTTCGGTTCAGTTCTCATGGCTTGGCACATCAGAGTGTTTTTTGTTAGTCTATGCTTAGGCATCAGAAACAGTAAGAGGTTATGGAGGAAAATTACTTTTAATGCAATACTCTTTCTAAACTTAAAAGCAAAAAAATCTCCGTCCTTATCTCAGCGACAGAAAAAGTCGTATCGAACGGTTCCATATTATACTGAGAATTGTGGCATCCCTAGTGTCAACGTATGTGACAAGTTTCTCTGACACAAAAACACACGGCACACAAGTAAAGCAAGGAATATGCATCAAAAAGTGGCTTCAGAAGTCAATATAATGCTTCTTTTGTTTCCTACTAATGTGTTCAGTTATATTGTTTTTTAAACGCAAGAAGTGCCTACTCTACTGTTTTTTTGTGTTATTTTTTGCTGAGGCAACTTGCCTATAGTCAAAGGACGACAGAAAAAAATGGTAATTTGTTTTTTTAACGCATTACAACTGAAATTGCATGTGTTAACGTTAAGAGTACTAATACAGTGGTATGAAAATGTTTGGGCACCCCTGTAAATTATCATTTACCATAAATCATTGATTGTCTGGATAAGAAATTTCAATTAAATAGATCATATAGGAGACAAACACAGTGATATTTGAGAAGTGAAATAAAGTTTATATGATTTATGGAAAGTGTGCAACAATTATTTATGCACATGTCTAATTTTGTTTAAATAATTCTTGTACACTTTCTATAAATCATATAAACTTTATTTAATTTCTCAAATATCACTGTGTTTGTCTCCTATATGATAAACAAACTTGTTCATACCACTGTATATATACATATATATATATATATATATATAAATTCCTCATTCTTTTGTGGAACAAGTAAAAATGTTGACAAGAGACTTCTGGCTCAGAACAAAGTCTCCTTATTGAACCTGGGCGTTGAAATTGACAGACCTTACTTAACCCCGTACGTAATAGAAAGCTCATGTCCCCCCCCAATAAACCTGACCCAGGGCTTCCCTCACTATAGAAACAAATCCAGCCGGTACACCGTGATCTCCCTGTTGGCTTTTTTCCTCCACATGTCTCTATTTCTGTCCACTGTGTGCAGGGAAAATAAAAGACTACATGCAGAGTTTCTGGGAAGAAGTGAGAATGGAGAGTAATGTTTCCATGAGACAAAAAGAATTAGAGGGAAAACGGTGATGATGTAAGGCAAGAGAGAGACAGAAATGATTTGATCTGGTTCTAACCTGTCTGATCCCAGGAGTCTGAAAACTCTGCTTGGGTCCGAAATCTCCTGTGTCACCTGCAAACGAGAGGAAATATTCTTTAATCAACAACTGTAGTACACCTGCTGAGATGGCCCAGCAATGCCTCTATTTTAACCCTGTTGTACACTTATGCATATCAAAACAAAACAAAAAGAGAAATAATTAGAGAATTAGAACAGTAATTAGAGATGTGTCATAAAAGGTATAAACAATATAACAATGAACTAGTTATAATAATGATTGTGTTTAAACACTTATAATATGTATAATATTTTTTCCAGCTCTGTTTCTTTCTAGAGGTAGGAAGGTAGGTGATCTTTGTCAGAATACAATGTGGACCAGACTAAATAACAACAAACTACCCCTTTTTTCCCACTGGACAAGTCGCACCGTGGCAAAATTGCATTGTTGGAAAAAAAAAATAGATAAAGTTGCATTTTATTACTTATTACATTCAGAAATAATGTAAAATACCAATGCATAACATAGCTTTAAGTGTTGTTCATATAAAACACATTTTTTTTATTATAAATGCCAAGCCTAAATGAATTTCTGATAGGAAAGTAACAGAGACATAACTGTACAGTGGACACACCTCTACCGGCAGTTCGAGAACTCCGCTGTAAACGTTCCCCTCTAGCTCAGGCCTTCACGTCCACAATCAGCTCATTTGGTCTTTTTTATTTCATTAAGCGTTGTTTCACCTTTTCATTAGTTTCGCACCAATTTCTCGCATACACATCAAATTTGTAGCCTGGAAAAACCCAGACAACTTCCGGCAAATTTAGATTTGCTCTGAAAGTTAGTCTGGCAAAGAGCTCATTCAAGCCCATTTCCAATCCGCCGAAATCGAGGAACCAATCAGAAGAGCGTTTGGGCGGGCTTTACAGCGCTGGGATTTTGAAGCAGATTTTGTAGCTTACATTAAAAAGATGGATGCCGCCATTGAACATCACTCGCTCGAATCAGCTATCACGTCTGTTTTAAGCGATTTGAACGTCTCCTTTTTGTTAAAAACCGAGCAAAGAACAACACTTGGAGATGTTTCTCCGCCGGCCGCCGCTCTGCATACGTCATCTCCTTCGTCGCTCTGATTGGTTTTAGGTCTATCCGCGACGTCCGTTGGTGACGACCCTCTGGAAATGATTTGTCAATGACGCTTTGCCAGACCATAATTCAGTTACAACTGAGAATGGTCTGGTTTTAACCAGGCAACCAAATTTGCGTTCAGGTTTCATTTGCATATGGTAGAACAATCAGTTTAAACTGAACTGTGTAACTTTTGTAACTGTGTAGTCTTTTGTTGACTGCATTTTAGTGTTATGATGAGGAGGCTGAAATGTCAGATTACCAATGCTACAACTGATTTGTTTTTTCGTGCATATTTGTGCCTAACTACTCCCATCTGAAAAACGTAAAACAATGGCTGAAAATATCACACGTGCCATGTTCCAAAACTACAATGAGTGGCAAAGCAGGTGCACAACCTGGCAGGCTCTAAAGCTCACCCTACACACACACACACACTAACACAATCTTTTGAGGGGTGTAGGTGCCGAGCGCTTTTCAGTGGAGTCAGAGAGGAGAAAAACAGCTGAATAATTTAATCTATTACTCTCTGGCCAGCTGGAGCTTTCTGATTGTACATGAATTTTACATCATCCATCACACCCTGTCATCTGTGTCTCACACACACTCACACACTATCATATGTCATAAAGACAGTGCTTCACCTCCAGAAGACCTTTGGTCTTTTATTGTTACACGCT